GGGAACCCGCCCGGTGCCCCTGGTCTGCTGGAGACGGTCTCCAGCAGACCAGGGGCACCGGAGCAGCTTACGAACGGGGCTCTCTCGCCCCGGAGCTCGCAGGTAGCAATCCGCTACCTCGACCTCCGGGGCGAGAAAGCCCCGTTCGTAAGTGCGGATCCGACATAAGTCGGATCCGCGTAAGTCGGGGACTGCCTGTACTTATAAAACAAAAGGGAAGTCTCAGTGGCACAATGTACAAATACCTGTGGCAGAGCACTACAAAGACGGCACCTGCTCTTGCAGCACACAACATGGCCAATGAGAAGGTAAAGGTCAAGGATATACACTTATGTTTGATTAATTCATTACACCATAAGTAGTAACACTGAAATAAGGGGGCTACTTGTGGAGTAAGAAACTACTCAGTGTGTGCAAGATTATTGCAGCTTAGACCCCAATGAACAATAGTAGGTTCTGCTTTCATTAATAAAGTGAATGTCAAAAAAAGAAAGCCAGATAGGTACAAATTATGCATAAATCTGTACATAAAACAGTGTACGAACACTGTTAAATCTTACCCTTTGGAAACGACTGAGATAAATATTGCCTTGGAGAAAGCTATTTTACATGATTTTAGGGAATGGTGTGCTAAACAAAAGTTTTTCTAAAACTAGATAATGAAATCAGAATGGCACTTGCTTAATACTGTTCTCTATTACCAGAAGCAACTCTTCCCTGGACTGGAATCATGTTATCTGTTCCCCTCGGCTGCCTCCCCAGTGCCTTATTGAAACCAGCCTGAGAGAGAGCAGATACACCTTCCCAAGTAGAGGAAATTGACGGCTTTGTGCTTTTCTTCTTCCTCAGCACTCTTAGCCTCGTTCCACAGCTCATTCCAGTCTTCCCTGATCTCCCAGTGTATCACTCTACCCCACCCATTTCTCTCAGGAAATAGAGGGAGCAGCAGTGGGAGAATCAGTCAGCACCAGAAACAATCCTTATCAGAGATGAGCAAACTGAAGGACAAATACTCACAAACTGTATTTACTGCATGTCCTTTTTATTTTCTTCCATGTATAAATATACACATTATACATACATATTAAAATTCATAAAATATCTGTCAAATAATTACTCCCTTATCTAAACTTTTGGGGAAATACTTCATAAAAATAGCATTTGAAGACTTTTAAAACTTTTAGTTGGCACACACCAGACCTATGGAGAACATTGAAAAGATATTTAGCAAAATGCAGACTGAACACTATAATTCAAATAAAATCTTTTATGTTCAATACACCACTGAAAGATATACTTTTAACATGTCCCTGTAACAATGCCAAGTTACCAGTCCATGAAAAAAAACTGGTTTGTCTCCCCCCTTTGCTCTCCACAATTATACTATTTAAGTACTAGCAAAGTGCTCTCTGCTGTTTGCAATATCAATGATGATGTGTTTTACCCCAAAGGGACCACAATCTAAGATGACAGAGGAAGAAATAACATTTTTTAAAGGATCACAAAAAGAATATTTAACTTGATTGCTGAAAAAGATTATCCATTTTGCTAAGCTGATTTAACATATCATTGATTGAGAGGGAGTGAGGAAGACAGTCCATCCAGCTAGCTTGAGGACACAAGTAAAATTTGTATCAGATAAAACTTTGAGGTCTGGAGTTTTTCTTGCTCTAGTGCAGGGCTACTCAACATGTGGCCCCGGCCCATGGCGCGGTTTAGGTTTACGCAGAGCTCAACACACAGCCCGCAGGTGGGAACCAAAACAAATAGTCAATATAATGGTCTTTTGTTTATATGCATTTTAGTAGTTAAATTCCTGGACTGCCATTGCTCATTAAAAGTGCTGTCATGTGGGTAGAAATCAGGTAAATACTACATTTTATTAATATCAGAAGAACTGACTTAATTGGGGCCTGTGTGTTGTGTAGTCTTGCCTTAATCTTTTTATTCATGCCACCAGTGTGAAAGAAGCTATTTGCATATATTTGCAACCACACTTAAGTTGCGGCCATTGGCATGTGCTGCAAGTATCATCGTGGCTCCCGGGGCTTCCAAAGTTGAGTAGCCCTGCTTGAGTGCTTATTCTTTACAATGGGCATCTTGTAACTGTCAATGCTAAAGGGTGGATAAAATGGCAAAATAAAAGCAGCTGTGAGTGTATGATTAGGTATGTTAGAAATCTTGTATTTGTGTAAATATGTACCCACTGAAATGTTTAGCATTTAGACATTTACACGCAGGGGGGAAGGCAGGAGCCAGTGTTTGTGCGGAACTGGCTTAAAAAATCCCAACTCCCCCCAAGCATTGGTCCCCTCCCCTGGCTCAGAGAGAGAGAGAGAGAGGCAGCGGCAGCAGCACGGGGGGCAGACAGCTCCTGCCACCCCTTCACCTCTAACTGCCTCTGATACAGAGGCAGCAAGGGGTGGGTGGGTGTCCCCGTTAAGATTAACTGATAAGTCTGGACTTATCGGTTAACTGCATTAATGAGTACATGCTAACATTCCTACTCCTGACACACTGCAACAGAAATAGTAATTACTCTATACAAGCTTCAAGCCATAAGTGCCCAAATTCTAGACAGATTCTTAAAAATAGCTATTTCAATGCATAGAGGCCCATATCCTTGAACTGAACAGACAGATGTCCCATTCATTAAAAAAAAAAAAAATCATCCTAAGAGACAGAAAATAAAATCCACTTCTCAAACAGTCACATTAAAAGGAAAATATGAACAATATTTAGCTTGAATGATATCGCTAAAGGAAACAGTGTTATCTCAATCATGTTGAGACATATACACATTTTATGTTAGACACATTAAGAGAAAAGTAATCAAATCTCATATGGGAGAGTGTGACCAGAACACCACAAGGATCAGGAAAGAATCTGCTCCACCTACTGTGTTGCACTAATATTTTTCCTGCGTTTTCTTTATCCTTTGATGCAGTCTACACTACCACTTAAGTCATTGTAACTTGTGGCACATGCATGTAAACAAAATCCCACATTACATAAGTTACATCAAACTTAAAAGTGGTGTCTATAGTGCACTGTGTCAGGGAGAAATGCTCTCTCAACATACCTTCTGCCTCTCATTGACAGGGGAGTGCTCTCCCATCAATATAGCAGGTGTTCATAGCACAGCTGCATCGATCTAGCATGGTAGTGAAGACAAGCCCTAAGGATCCACTTCCAGAGGAAATAAACCACTCTTAATGAGCTATTTATCATATGCACCATTTATGACAATAACAGAAAAATAACGTTACCCACTGAAGTTTCAAACAGGAGTAGATAATAATGATAAATTAAAATTGGTCAGGACAGGACTGTAGACACCTATTCTTATAAAAGATACTACTGTATGTTTAACAGGAAAAAAAAATTCTCTTTGTTTTAAGAGATTACTTTTTCTGAGATGCTGTGTTCGTTACCATTTGTCTAAAATGTACCACCGGTGTGGATGCTAGTCAACACCTGTTGAAATATTTATCAGTGTTATCTACCCTTGCTCAAAGCCAGTCTAGATGATAGAGAAAAAAGTGCTGCAGTGTGTCTACAGTAGTGTTTCAGTACAGCTTCATTATTAGTTAATAATTCAGTGCTGTAAATCAATATAGAAATGCTAGAGGTAGACAAGGGCTGAGATGCACCTGTTTTACCTCCGATACACACTTAAGCATCCAGACTTAAAGCAGAAATGTGGTTAAAACTTCTGGGGGTGGGGAAAGAGAGGAATTATTTCAACCATGAAAGAAGTTATGAACTTTTAAAGAATTAGTGAGCTGCAGTCAATAACCTGGACAAATCTTAATTTTTTTCTTGTTCTGTTAAAAGTGTGAAACAAGATTGCGTACCCATAAAATACAGCAGACAAAATATTGCGCATAAACATTTGATTACTGATCACTTTTAGTTATATTTGTTTTGCCCATCAACCTAACAAACAACACTTCTCAGCTCCACGTCCCCTGAACATGGGGCTGCCGGCTTCTGCAGCCAAGAGGGGCCAGATGGGAGCAGTCTGAGCTCAATCAGTTAACCGGTTAAACCTTGTGTTTAACTGATTAACTGGGATTTTACATCCCTAAAGGTCTATAATACCCCTTCTTCTGCAATCTAACAATGTCTACCCAAAACTGAGTTTACTTAAAACTGAGGCCAAAAAGGGTTTGCCTATGCTCCAGTTGGAAACATGTTTCCAGCCTGGGGAGTTGGACTGAACCAGGCATAGTAAAAATAGCTAGAGGTAGCAGCAGGGAGTAAGCCTTCAGAGCTCTGACCCAGGGAAATCGGACAGACTTGTATTCAAACTGCTAGCTTTACAGGACAGGCAGTAGGCTGTGTCTACACTGTTACTTTTAGCTTTCTAAATCAAGGTTAGGAGAGGCCCTGTCCAGCAGTGGTGGAGACATTCTTGACAGAAGTCCCCAAACACTTCATGGTCACCATCTTATTAAAAAAAAAACAACAAAAAAACCAACCCCCAAAGCACAAAAACCAAAGCCACCCCTCCTCCAAAAAACAAACAAAAACCACTTGAAACTGAAAATGGCTATTTGTAGAAACTGTGTTTTAGTGCAGCGTACATACAATTACATTACTGATATTCGACCAAGTCCTGCTCACTTGAGCAATCTCATTATTATCAATGGGATTACTTGTAGGATTTGACCCACACATACTGATAGGCACATTACTGATGTTTGACTTTCTTGGATACTTTTTCTCCTTTTTGATAGTGAGAAATAATCTGAACAAGGACAAAGCAATTAATGAAAAGGAAAAGCAAGCCTGCTAGCCATATAAGTAGAAAGGTATTATTTCCTTTAAACTCCAGAAAATATGCGGGTACCAGCCACAATGCCTGTCCAAGAAACCAAAGAAGGAGAAGCAGGACACCCCGCTGCCAGGACATTTTCACATTAGGCATTACAAGGGGCAAGAGGCAGAGGTACCAAAGAAAATATTGGGATGTGCAAACTTTGTTAAAACTTACAAAAACAGCAGTGTGTAGGAAACAACAAAAGACAAGGTCTTTGTAATAAGCTAAGGATACAACTAGAAGCAGGAGCAGCTGTGGCAGAAAAGCTGCCAGTCCCAGGGCAAAACTCCATTCACTCTCTGCAGTCAAATACAACATGTAGAAATAGGGAGAGAAATTATGACGGATATCCCTCCTGGTTAAATGATAGAGATAAGTATGTTCCAAGAATTCCCAACCATAGAAGTAATAAAATGAAAGACTCAAGGCTACAAATGTAAATCCACCAACTGCCCCGAAAAGCAACACATTGCTGTTTAGCGGCCTTGAAAAAAATTGCCAGAAGTGACCCATAAGAGAACATTTTGATTTTTTAAAATGGAAAGCATCCGTTGCTCCTTTTTCACAGCAGCCATCATTCTGCAGATGAAGGGCTATGGGCAGAGCGTAAGTCACTGGGTAAATTTTCATGTGCACTGAAAAGCCATAGAGTATCGCAGATTTCACTATGTTCCCTTTTTCTATGTAATACATGGTGGCCAGCACAAGCACTGCCACAAGAGACTCTGCGTTTCCTCTGCTGGACACAGCCATCGGCAGAGGATTGAGCAGCCAGAAGGCACAGTACCCACAGGCTTTGCTGGCGTCCATGCCTCTGAGGAGCAGGATGTGGAGCATGAGGCCGGCGGCTGTTAGATCCCCAGCAATGAAAAGCAGCTTTCCAAACAGCGGCGTGAGGTAGATGTTGGGGGCCAGGATCCAGCCCAGCAGAGGGGTGTAGCGGTAGGTGGCTCGCAGGTACGGGGAGCGCCCCTGGCTCACGAACCTGGCGGCATCCGTGAACACGTGGTAGTCCACGTCCGTGTATTTCACCAGCATGGTCCGGTCCTGGTAGGCTCCGTAGCAGAGCAGAGCGAGGCGGAGCAGCGCAGCGCTGCCGAACAACCACCCCGCCCGGCGCCGCCAGGGGGCGCCCGCTCGCTGCCCCTCAGCCCGGCGCGCCGCCATCTCGGCCCCCCCGGGCCTGGGCCGCTGCGCCTCGGCCTCGCCGCCCTGCCCAGAGGCGGCCGTGTGGCGCCCCCTGCCGGGCAGGAGAAGGGGGATTCGGGGCTCTGCCCGAAGGAGGCTGCCCCGCGCCCCACTGGGCTCACCCGCAGGGGACGCACCCAAGCCAACCGCTACTTCCGCGTTCGGGGGCGGGGCCCCAGCAACCCCCCCCCCCCAGCGGCTGCAGTGGAGACGGGCGCAGGCGCACGAGAAAGCCTGAGGCCGCTGCCCTTAGCCCCCTGCCAGTGCCGGGGAGGGGAGGGGGGAAAGGGCTGCGCCCGGCCCATCGCGGCTCGTAGAACCCGTCTCGTCTGCGCGCCCCGCCCTAAGGGACACGGCTCTCAGGACAGGAGGGCCCCGGGCACCGCTGCTGCACCTCAGTGCCCCCCCCCTTTCCCAGGGAGCGGGTGACACAAGAGTCAGACCCTCCCGGGTGGGTCCTACCCAGGCAGGGCTGCTCTGCCCAGTCCCTCCGTCACAGGGTTGGCAAAGGTGCATTCCAAAAATAAGAGACTGGTTTCTTAGCAGCCTACCTCCCAGTATTCGCAGACATGATTGTTATTCATAATAAGCAGTTCCCACTCACCTACCTTAGCCAGGGGTATGTTCTTGCTCCTTTTTGCAGCGCCTGATCTTTACTGTACAGAGAAGAAAGCACAAGGGACTGTTGGGAATCTGTCCCATATCTCACATCGTCCCCCCAGCTACTCACACCTACCCGAGCTGCCTGTCGCTTCCTTGCTGAAATTAAGGCAAATTAAAAATGAAGTATCATGAAAGTTCTTCTGCAGGACAAGATGTTTACACTGAGGGAATGGACCCTACAGTATTTTGTTTCCTGCTCTGTACGAATAATTTTTTGTATTTCTTTGGCTCATCGTCACACGTTGTACGGCACATTTAGGGTTTGGCAGGTTGACAAATAAACCTCAACTTTGAGATTTTATCCCTTTCATGGGGCATCTGTCCTGCACTGGCCCTACTGGTGTTGAATTCAACCTAGAGAGGCTGAGTGGTAGGCAGATACAGGTGCAGCTGCAGATAATGAAAGGCACAGCTGACCCTGATAAAAGGGAAGCCACAGAAAAGGGGAGAGGAGTGTGTTACAAGGAGTATGAAGGGGAAGGGGAAGGGGAAGGCTGGTTTCCTAGAGTGCTGTGTAGCTGGCATGTTACTTCAGGCTCTGAAATGTGAGAGCTTGTGGTGGGAGCCATAGGTGCTGGGGCTGTGGACAAGTGGCCCTGGGCAATGAAAGGGTGCTGTTAAAGGATCCCTAGGGGAGAGGCCCAGAGTAGTAGGTGGATCTAATTCTTCCCCTGCTCCCATTTTTCTCCCATATGCTTGTCAGTGGTCAGGACATACTGTAGTTTTACTCTGGGGCAAGATATTAGACTGAGAGCTGCAATGGGCCCCTGAGGTGAGTTGCAAGGCCGTGGTTGCCCTTCCCCTGGGTGAGAGAAGAGATGATAGTTCTGGGGCTCATCTTGAGGACTGCGCCCCAAGGTTGATGTTGTGGATTATGACCAATATAAGTCTAGACAGGGAGTAGAATAGAAGTGATGGCGGTGAGGCATAGCTAGAGGGTGCCGTGGGGCTTGATGGAGCTAATTCCAAGCATGACTGGCAGGATGTGCCATCATGGTGAGCTGGTGGATGGAATCTTCTGTTCCTGCCCCATGTATGGGTTTGGGGGCCTGCAACAGGGAATATGTGAGAACTTGTTAACAACTCCTTCTAACTTTGCTAATACTTGGAGCTGGTCTTTCTGTCTCTAATAACAAACAATAATTGTAATGGTGGTTGTTCCAATGGGAATGAGTCACCAAAATATTAACGCAAAATCCTAGATCACATTAACTGTGTAATATTGCAACAGTAAACAAAGGATTTGTTAAGAGTGTTGGGCCCAAGACATCTTTTTTTTCTTTTATACAACATGTGTGGCCTTTGGTGGACTCAAAATGTGCTCACTAAGCCACAATTTGAGGGGTTAAGATCTGCCCTGTACACTGATATTTATAGTTTCAGATCCTTCTAGGGCTACATAATAACTGGTATGTGGTCATGAAAAATGTTGTAGTATCTTATCTCTTCTTGGGTTCAAGAAAGCCACTTAGCTGACCACACCTCTATTTGTCAGTTACTATACATTTGTTTCAGGCAGTATACTACCTTTAATGACCCTATTCTTGCTATGGTTCTCCCTTCCTCTGGGCTTATGCACAATTCTTTTCTTGTTGCCTTTTAATGCAACACATGTTATCATTTTCACTCCTTTGAGGGAATAGCTTACTGGGTCAAATCTGATACCTTTCCTGACTGCAGACTTCAAATATAGTTTGGGATTTGAAAGAGAGAATATACAGTTGGTGTGACAAAGATAAATGGAGTTAAATGGTACTGGATTTTTTTAAAAGCCTTTTCTAATTCTGTTTTGTGAAGACTTGCTTTGGACAGGGTCTGTTGTCCATAATGAGGCAAAATTCCCATTGATTCAAAGGGAGCAAGACCTGTCTGACTGTCAGCTTATCTACATTCCAGGCGCTATAGTGGCATAATGGCAGTGCCTGGTATAGACACAGTCTATGGCAATGAAAGGCGTTTTCCCCATCACTGGAGATATTTTACCTCCCTGATCTGTGATAGGTCAACAGAAACATTTTTCTGTCAGTTCATCTGCATCTGGGGTCTGTTTGTTTGAACTATGACACTCACAGCTGAGGACTTTTCATACCCCTGATTGATGTAGCTATGTCAATCTAAAATTTTAGATCAGGCCTGTGTGAGAAGACAGCCCTTGGGGGGGCCTCCTCTCGCCCCTCGGGATGTAGAATGACCAGTGTGCCTGCCTCAGTTTCATCTTTCATCTGTAGTCCTCAGTAATACCACTCAAGCTTTACAAACATAGATAACCCTTTGTGGGGTTAAGTTATTGCAAAGAGTCCCACACCTTTAAACCATAATCGCCCAGCCTAGCCCAAAGTGTATATTCACTTTCAAATCCCAATACTCCAACATCAAGTATAGCTTCCATATCTTTCACTATGCCCCCTCGCTTTTTAATACAGCTCCAGCACCTCTCACCACACCTCTCCTCAGATAGGTTATTCCTCTCCATCCTGTTTAATTCTCAGGTCTGGTTCTAGCTCTCCCCTGCAGAGATCAGAAGGCACATAATTTCCAATGCTTTAATTCTCTCTGGCCATCTGGTTTCAGCTCTCCAGCTCAGAAAACCAGTAGGCATTTCTGTCTGCTGCTCTCAGCTTTTAGCTTTCCCCAGCCATGATGAGAGCTTGTAGGTGACCTCCCTCAGCTGTCTTCCACCTGCCTGCTGAGAATCTACTGCTCATCACTCCTACTTTCAAAGGTACCACCTCCCTGAAGCTCTCGTCCTGGCTTTGCTACGCTCGTCCTACTTTCAAAACTCTACATTCTCACAGTTAGTGCTGAACTATCCAATTCTAGGCCCTCTTCTTTCTTGGTTTGAGCTGTCTCCCATGTACAATACCAAGGGATGATACCACACTCCTCATTGCATCAAATGAGGGCACAAGGGAACTGAACCAGGAGAGCTGAGCTTGATTTCATTTGTGAGTGTTTAATAGAATACTGAGTCTGCTATAGCTGCTGTTCTGAAACAATGTGATCAACAACATTTTCTGAGTTAAAGAAGCCATTAATTTTATTTATCAATTTAACATCCTGATTCCTGAAAGGGAACTTGAAGCTCTTTAAAAGAAT